GGGGGGGGGGGGGGGGGGGGGGGGGGGGTGGGGGGGGGGGGGGGGGGGGGGGGGGGGGGGGGGGAGAGGGGGGGGGTGGGTGGGGGGAGGGGGGGGGGGGGGGGGGGGGGGGGGGGGGGGGGGGGGGGGGGGGGGGGGGGGGGGAAGGGGGGGGAGGGGGGGAGGAGGAAAGGGGAGGAGGGGGAAGAGGGGGTGAGGGGGAGAGGGTATTAAATGAGCGCACCTTTGATCTCAAATTGTCAGTTGAAGTATTGTTATGAGTTCCCGACGTTAAATAAGGACCTTTACCTTTACAATTCCCTCTCGACAATACCCATTTTTGACCGGATATTGTCAGTTAACCGACCAGTATTTAAAAGCCCGCTCAATCTTATGTAGCCAACCATAGCCCACAGGCAAGGAAAGCAGTATAGGGGGGTCACCCCTACTTAAATGGTCATGCAGTACGCCCCTGGGGTGGCACTTGCATCGTCTTACTTAGTTAAATTTGCTTAAATGTAATTTAACTAAGTTAACACGGGGGGTGACAACTATAACAAAGGCTGTTTGGGCAGTCCTATGAATAACTTTATGTCCTCCCGGAAATTTGGACGACCCTCCCGAATTTTTCGGTGGCATTCTCCATGTTTAATCTTTAACTTCCCAAAATTGTTTTAACAATTTAAATTTAAAATTTTAATTAGAGATTTTTTGCAGCTTCTTGTTAATTATGTAACTTGTGAATTATCTAACCTTAGTTATTTTTTCGTTTAGAGGAGTTGAACACTGAGGGTATCATGTTAACACAGAAAGACTGTCCAACTTAAGTATATAAAATCGTGGTGTTTTTTTTAATCACCAACGAATCAGGCTAGCGATGAAGAGGCCAGCCACTATAGGGGTCTGAGGGCATGCTCCCCCAGAAAATTTTTGAAATCTTGGTGCTCTGAAACGCCATTTCTAGTGTTCTGACAGGACAAAGTCTGTCCAAATGTTGTCTAAATCAATTGTCATTTGTATGCTTATTTTTATTGGCGTGACTTCGCGTAGAAGTAGTCGATGTTATTTTATATTTTGTGCGGTTTTTGAAATTGTTCTGGATATCGCTTTCAGCTAAGTATACTGATAGTATGTGCCTTGCACCGGCACGATTCTTGTGTCAATCCGCTGGGGATTGCACGTGGTCAATCGCACTCCAACTTCAAGCTATTTTAGTTGGAAACGTTGCTGATTGGTCTTTTTATATCATGGGGAGTCAAGCTGCTTTCAAGTGTCAAAATACATAAAATACAGCGTATACACAGGGTGCATATCACTGTATATATATTGTTTGATAACATATATTATCAAATCTTTGCTCAATGTCCCGAAAATATCTTATATTTCCCGAAAAATTTCCCAGGTTTCCCGATTCCCGGCAAAATCTCCGGATTCCTGGAATAGAGTACTAAAGTGTGACGTCATAAAAATGAAATTTCTGAAATTATGGGATTTGTCAGGATATTCTGAAAGAACAATGTCTAAGAGGCCAACTTGCCAAAAATGAGCATTTGGGGACAAATTGTCTCTGAGAACGTAGCCCAGTTATGCTTACAAAACTCCATACAAACCCTTCTAAATTTTTTTGGGGTCGACCCAAAAAAAAATTAGGAGGGTTTGTATGGAGTTTTCTGAGTATAACTGGGCTACGATCTCAGAGACAATTTGCCCCGAAATGCTCATTTTTGGCAAGTAGGCCTCTTGGACATTGATCTTTCAGAATATCCTGACAAATCCCATAATTTCAGAAATTTCATTTTTATGACGTCATCACTCTAGTACTCTATAAATTTGTTTTTCTCCCGAAACAGCCCTTGTTAGAACTGTCACCCCCCGTAAGTTAACCACCACGAGCTTAGCGGTCAAGCGGTTCATAAGCTTAGTGGTCAAGCGGTTCACAAGCTTAGCGGTCAAGCGGTTCACAAGCTTAGAAGTTAAGCAGTCCACAAGTTTAGCGGTCCACAAATTAAGCGGTCAAGCGGTCCACAAGCTTAGCGGTCAAGCGACCCACGAGCTTAGCGGGTATCCAGCGGTCAATCCCATAAGTGCAGGCTCACATGGTTTGTGGTAGCTTTGTACACGGCTAGGATCTGCGAGTTCTTCGTCGAACGTTTGTGCAGTGCTCTGTGGAGCGGTTCATTTAGTGTCTTCCCCCCTCTCATCCATGTTTTTCTTCCTTCCACTGTTTCATCAGTGTGACGGGTGCCTGGAATGGGGGCTCATGGCTGGGTTGCGGGGATTTGCCAGCCATAGGGGCAGTTTTGTCTCTAGGGGCTGGCTGGCCACAGTGGAAGCCCCTGGGTATCCCAGGCACCCACCTTCCACTTAAGCGAGCCAGTTGGTTAAACTGATTAAAGGTCACTGTGTTCATAACAACAGTACAACTGTATTGTGTATTTATGTGCTTATAAAATAATTCCATACATTTTCCTCCCTTTTAAATTAACGTTTAACATTTAGGCATTTTCTGTTATTTCCAAGAAGAGTTCAGGCTGCAGAAAGACATAAAATAGTATCTGCGATCCACAATAGCAAATCATGTTGATATGAGAGAGATTATGAGTCGCGTTTGTGGCAAACGGCAAACGTAAATTTCTGCCACGTCACCAAGTTTTCCATTCACTTGTCTTTGACAATTCTTTATTTGAACAAAAATATAAGTAGTTTCACGTTATTTTCATCCATAAGAATTGCTTTTGTTTCCATCTGCTCATTTTCTATTTTGAGAAAATTTTTCAACTTGGGTCTGCCGTTTGCTGTGAATCTAAATCTTTCTATTGACAAGCATTTGCTTCATTCAAAATAATGTCCACAATTTTTGCTAGAAATAAAGCTGCCGTCCCTACTCTATAAAAAAGAGGTGTTCATAAGGTGCGTCTACTATAGACACAAGTTAACTCTTCAGATGTGCAGTGACAATATAACCAAACCAAACTTGGAATAACACAAACTCTACAGGCACTATGTTAAATTAGCTTTTGTCACTTTTGTTCATCTCCATAGTAACGTTGCTTTAAAGTTCTATACTTGCGTAACATGTACAGTGCCTCAAGTTCCTTGATGACGTACTCTCCTCTAGCAATTAACATCTTGATTTTTTCTGGATCCGTTTCTTCTCTGTGTTTTATAAAAGCTCGTTTAAGTTTCGACTTGAAGTATTGCTCGCCTGCTGGATAATCTCTTCCAAGATACAATAACTGAAACGGCAAAAAATAAGCAAACAATTTTTTTATATACAATGTACTGGATAATATGCATACTGCGATTGGTTGTTACATGTACATGTACCTATGATCTGTGCTCAGACCTATGGTCTTGCAAAAAGCATTAAACAGATTACTTCGACTTGGGCAAGAATAACTTAGAAGACTAGTTTAGAGGACCTGATACAAAAACAAAATAGAAGAAAAAATGCGAAGAGGAGAGAACGATCAATAATTTACAGGCTTCACACTATTGCTGTTTAAGACATGACCATTTCTGAACATAGAAGGGTGTTGAAAGCCAAATAATACATGCTACAACCCCCCCCCCCCCCCCCCCCCGACTCCCACACACACACACACTCATATTTGGGTTTCGTTTTTAATGTCCCAGTTTTTGAGGACAACGTTACCTTTAGGCAGAAATTATAGAAATAAGCGCCCCTTGTGAAGAAATAAGCCAGTTCTGATAAAACTTTTCTTTATTCTTTTCCATTCAACAAAATCTGAGGACTGAACTACCAACAGCTTATAAAATTTCTTACCTGCTTATAGAGATGTTTCACAGCAAATCTCAAGTTATTAGGACTTGTCATTTTAGAGTCCACACATCAGGTCTATAACACAAGGGAAATATTATTTTGCAGAACCAGTATATCAAAGGACACATCAAGTAATAATTAACGTACAGTCAAACCCCGCATTATATTATGGACAGTTTGTTTTGTCCCTGGGAAAAGAAAGCCATCACATTTTCTCTAAATTCAACCCATTTAATAAGGACACCCTGTCAATACCAACACTTTCTATGGCCTTCTCAGTGTTTGTATTAACAGGTTTTGACTGTACTTGTTATGTTCCAGTGATATCGCCTCTCTTAGAATACATTAATACACTGTATAAACCTCAAGTAATGTTTCATGCCCAGTTGAAAATGTAAAGTTCCAGAAAATCTCCATACTCCCCACAGAAGGGGTTAGAAATTAAAATTAATATTTTATAGGTTTTAAAGTGCTTTAGCACTTTGACTGAATTTTCTTTTCTCTTGTACCCGCCTCGAATAGCCTTCACTAATTGTGGGCACAAGCTTTGTAAGCTATATTTTATTTGAAATAAACTTCTTGTTGTTGTTGTTGTTGTTGATGTTGAAAGAACTCTAGACTACTGTTAACTCGGACACCTTATTATTATAGACAGTTTGTTTTGTCCCTGGAAAAAGAAAGCCCTTCCTTTTTCTCTAAATTCAATCCATTTAATACGCACACCCTGTCAATACCGACACTTTCTATGGCCTTCTCAGTGTTTGTATTAACAGGTTTTGACTGTACTTGTTACGTTCCAATGATATCGCCTCTCTTAGAATACATTACTACACTGTATAAACCCCAAGTAATGTTTCATACACAGTTAAAAATGTAAAGTTCCAGAAAATCTCCATACTCCCCACAGAAGGGGTTGGAAATTAAATTTATAGGTTTTAAAGTGCTTTATAGTACTTTGACTGAAAGAACTCTAGACTACTGTTTTGAAACAGTACATGTAGGTGGTAGACTAGCAGTGGCTACTGGCTAGGAAGTGCGGGCAAACATGTGGATCTTATACCTTGGAGATCTGATTGATGAAAACTGCTTTTATAACAGTGTAGGTGAATCAGAGAAAGCCCTTTTAGTTTCAGTGTCAACAAAAGGAACCACTGTTGATCATGAAAACTGGATTGAACAACACAGTACACAAGACTAATATTTTTTACGATTTTATTCATAGTTGCTTAGACACAATTAGGCTGTGAGTGGTGAGGAGCGAGGAGAGACAGCTGTATTCGCCAGCAAAGATACATTAAAACAGTAATGTGTGATACCGTTAGTAATGCGCATATACGGTCATGACTGCACGAAGTCTTATTATTCGTTCAAAAATACAATCTGTGTTCAATGACTGAAGGTTGTTGATACATGTATACAATAGAAAATAAAGAAACAGCTTAAAGTACCACTGGAATTTAAAGCTCATTGAAGCTTTTGGATGACAAGTGATGTAATATGCTTGGAAACGGCTGACAAGTGACTTAACATGCTTGGAAACCTATAAATATATAAAAACCATGCACTGCAGTGAAACCTGAATTAACTTACGGTAATGCGATTTCTAGACCTTTGCCAAGACTCATATCTTACTGAAAACTTGTCCTGCACTAAACTGAGATCAGGCTCTATGTTCATTTTCCTGGGTAAATAGATTCCACGCCGGCAAGGCGAATCGAAAAGTCACCCATTTAGTATTAATAGTACTTGTGTACTTGAATTACGTGTGCTTGCGAATTGAATGTAATAATGATTGTTGCATCTCTTGCATGTGCATTCACATGATTACCGTGACATCAAATGGACCTTAAACTTAACACCACGGCCTTCACAGCCACAAACCATGCATATTAGTCGGTACAACATGAGCAACCTAAGAATGTGAACAGATTCAGGAAAAACTTCGCGATACAGTAAAAGAGTGCCGCTGACCAAGAATAGGCTGCAGGCTCCTCTTGTCGCCTGCAATTATGAGGAAGAGAGAGGAAAGATAGTGTGGTGGTGTGTGTGACAACTCTCTTCCCACTAATATGGCCCAGGTGCAAGTCCTGGAGGTAGTGTCATACATGTAAGTTGGTTGAATTTGTTGCTGGTTCTCGCCCTCTTGCTCTGAGAGGTTTTTATTTGGGTGCTCCAGTTTTCCTCTCCCCTCAAACGCCAACATTCCAAATACCAGTTATTTGCGGAATGGTAGACAAAGAGTCACCGTGGGAGAAAAACAGCACTGTGCAAATATAGCAAGTGGGCAACACTGCAAGCAAGCAACTGCATATAAGGGCCACAAGGAGCCCCTGCTAAACTGACCAAATGCTAACTAAAGCAACATTTGGCAGAAGGGAAACCACTGGCTAGCATTGACTGTCTAATATTCTTTTCAGCAGCAAACCAATGAAAGTACAAGAAGTATTCAAGGACATATTTTTCCCTAACAAAGAAACAAAAACTTGATATTATACTGAAACCAGTCAGATCAATGCCAGATAGCACTTCCTTTGCAGCCACTTCCTGTTCTTTCTATAGCAAAATTGAATCAATGTCTTAAGGTAAAGCTGGTCTCATGGGTGTTGCTTGCTTCAGAATATTCACTTCAAGATTACTGCTTGTTATCGATTACTATTGATTCCTAATGATTGTTATCGATTTTATTAATAGATGATAATCTATAAATAATTTCTTCTGTGATTTTGATTTCTATCGGTTTCCAAAATCAATTGCTATTAATCGGCAGATTAAATTGATTAATATTGATTGATTTCTGATATTGATTTTTATTGATTAACTTCCTCTTGAGTTTTTTTCTTATTAAAACTACTTTTTCCTTTTCACATTTTCATAGTTGTCATGGTTTCTCAAGCTCGTTGATAGCACTGTCATCCAAAACAATATTTTCAATAAACAACCAATGATTCGATGAAAAAAGCGCAACAAAAGTGATGTCTGCAGGAATCATACAGACTCAACTTTAAAATTGTGGTGTTACCGGTCAAATTAAACCTTGCTGGGTTGACCTTTTGCATTTTTGATAGTCCTTTCCTGAGAGGTTTCTTCTTCCAGTAAATAATTTTCTTTGGCAACTATTCAGACTGTTAGGTGTGAAAGGGATGAAAATTAATTGGTTAACTCCTTGTTTGGTAAGCTTACGTAACCACTGATGTACACAAGCTTAATACCTTCACACGGCAATATTTTGCTGACAACAAAGATACAATTTAAGAATATTCAATCCCGAAAAAATATTTTAAATTAATACGGTTCAGTTCGTAAAAAAAAATATTTGAAAAGCTTAGCGAGAACTATGGTCAAAAACAGATCGATAAGCCACAAGAAAGATCATAAGAATATTAGCTGACGTTTGTTCAAAGAAGTCTGTATACACGCACATTTTTCATGGTTACACTGTAAATGATGTTACCTTAAAAGACTTGAACTAAGACGGTTGTCCCTCCAATAAGGTAGCTCTCTTTATCAAAATATAGCAGCCATGTAGCCTATTTTCACCTCATACTTCTCGAGGACTACTTGAAGAAAAAAAAAACAAGATGGCCGACTTAAGTGTAGATTCCAGTGTTTCGCGGGCACAACTATCTTGATGTACGCGACGATGTACGTGACATGCATGAACACGTGGCTATGACATAAAATTCTTTATCCAGTGGATAACGCAATTAGTTTTATTATTACTTCAGACTTGCCAACCCACAAAAAGTCAAAAAATGTGAAACTCTGAACCTAGAGCTGTGAAAAGTAGTGAGAAATGGAAAAAAGTCGTGAGATGTACCAAATTTCCTGGTGGAAGGAAGTCAACTACAGCAGTAAACATCATTTTAGACCTGTTCAGAGGTAAGATTGAAAAGTGCAGAATCATAGGTTGGTCGAAAACAACTTAGAGTTGCCAACTAAGCTAACTGGCAATAAAAAAAAACCTCCATTGGATGAATCCATGTAACAGCTGTTACGCTATCCCTGACCACTAACAGTGGTTGATCAGTAACAACTGACCCCTAAACAAATATTTTCACGCCTTCTTTGGAGGAACAAACAGTGAAAAAACATTTGCGTTATTTTTTCACGTTTTTCATATCTACTACATCATATTATATTGAACTTTGATACGTAGTCTCCCTCACAGCCGTTTTTTGGGTGTCACGCAACGCTCCCCCAAAAGAACTTGGGGGAGCGTTGCGTGACATCCAAAAAAAACGGCGGCGAGGGAGACCAAGATTTATTTGGAGGGATTAATTAACAGGCCCGGTTGTTCAAACGTCGATCTAGTGGATAAATCACTATCCAGCGGATGAATATTAGGGAACCAATTGCACTATCCTCTGGATAGAGATTTACCCAGTGGATAGCGTTATCCACCGGTCGGACAACTGGGGCCAGGTGAGTGTAGCAGTTTTGCCCTAATTCGAACATCTTCAGTTTACACCCGTACCTGCACCTGCTAATTATTAATGACAGCCCAGACTTTTCTCAAAGTCAGGGAATTCTGCAAAATGAATGGAAAGTCCTATTTAAATCCGAACATCTTCAGTTTACACCCGTACCTGCACCTGCTAATTATTAATGACAGCCCAGACTTTTCTCAAAGTCAGGGAATTCTGCAAAATGAATGGAAAGTCCTATTTATATATATATAGAGAAGAGAAGTGATGACGTCACAAGAACTAAATTTGTGAAAGGATGGGATTGGTTGACCTATCCAGAGAGAACAAGACAAAGCATGTTCACTTGCTAAAAATTAACCTGTTGGTGCAAATAAGCAACATCATGCTTCGATGACTTTATATAAATCCATCTAATATTGGTTGGGATCATTAACGTTACAATCCAAGACAGGAGCCTATTGTTGGGTAGTAGGCTCCTGTCCAAGCCTATTTTAGAAGGATTCGTATGGAGTCATCAGAGAAAATCAGCGCTTATATCTCCTCACCAATTTGCACTAACAGGCTGATTTTTGGCAGGGGAGCTCTTTTCATCTTGTTCTTTCTGAATATGCTAACCAATCCCATAATTTCACAAATCTGAATTTTTGTCACTTCACACTTCTCTTTCCTATGACACGTCAGAGGTCACGCGTGCCCACCATGAGAAAAAACACAGGAGAGTGAAGAGAGAAAGCTCCTCGCGGCTTGCGATTGCTCATGCGTTCTTCCATAATGCAAGACTTTTCAAAACACTCACTGTTAGATGTTTTATTGCCATTTATTAGAAAATTCTGCAAAAACACTGCACTTCTCAGAGATTAACAAGTTGCATTTCTTAAAAGTTATGTGCTGTACGGAGTTTGTTGCATTATTTTGAAACCTTTTTATTCATAAAAGTGGTTAAGTGTTACATTTTACATCAGTCTAAACTGTCACACATTTCCATCCCCTAACTCATGAGGGACATGGAGGAGAGAGATGTCTGAATTCCAAGCATTATAATGTTGTTCGGTGACATCACCTTCTTTTGCAAATATGGTAGGTACTTTTTGATTGGCTATTACCTTTCCAAAAAAATAAAACTTTTATCAGTGGCTGAACTTGCTAAGCAAAACATCCGGTTTGAAATAGTATTGACAGGCCAAATGAGACTAATAACTGCTGTGTGAAACATGACCTTAGAGTTAGCCTCTCTTCACAAAGTGAAGACTTGTACCATACTACCAACTGATGAGGAACCCTTAACTGCAGTCTCACATTAGGCACTTGTTACTTGCACTACCAGTTCAGCCGCAAAAGTAAATGCCATCGGAGGAACTGTACAGTAGGACAGCGCGCTCTAGACCACAGGAAATAATTACTCAATATGCATGAAACAGACCAGCTTCATGACCTCTAAATGTTAGACTTAGAATGCCAAAAGTAATTTTTTCTCTGTCAGAGTTTAAAATACTCAGTGTACTACATAACCTAAGCGAAAGAAGGGAACCTCTGTAGTTCAAGCTAACTCCAAGTCCAAAGTCACGTTTCACACTATTACAAGCTTATAAGTTGTGGTTAGCCTGCTGTCAACTGTTCATTTCAAACTCGAAAAGTTAAACCCCGTACATTTATTCTGGAGGCTTTATCATCAAGCTTCACTGCAGTCAAATCACAGAACACTTCATATAGACCCCATACATGTATGCATGCTGTTGTTCACATTTCAGTGACTTACAGTGTATGGCTGCCAACTTGTTAAGAATTTTTAAAAAAATGCATACTAGGTGATGTGACCGGACACCATTACATGGTATAACGCTTGTCTCTCTAGTCTGAAATGCCATACAATTTCAAACTAATGTCTCACTCCCCCGTGCCCCCCATGGGTTAGAGGGTGGAGACATATGACATTTCAGACTAATTTTACATGCACATGAAAAAGGTGTAGCATTATATTTACATAAGGCATATTATCCTCTGTATTTACACGGCCATTTTCATTTTAATTGTTGGATGTGGATCATATCCTATGATCTCAAAATCTTCAAATTTGAAGCTGTCAATGTCTTCAACATTCCTTTTTATCTTCAGAGTTGGAAATGGGCGTGGTTCTCTTGTAAGCTGTCAAAAGAATTCATAGTGATCAATTTCTCTTTGTTTTTTGTTTTTGTTTTTCAGCCATCATATCCATTTGAATAATAAAAATTAGAGAGACTTGGGGGAGCTGGAGGAGCATCACCTGGATAACTAGTATGACGATTCCAAAAAGCGACATGTACCGGTACATGGACATGCACCTATTGGTTATACACCCCTATACAGCAGGATATAAAGAAAGTTAGTTTTACAACTTCCCCGAATAGCTAGCATGTACTTGCCTAAAAGTCATTTCAACTAGCCCCCAAAAAAGGTTTGATGAGCAGGATAATGATAACATGCATTTCTTTGGTAATTTTAAAGACAGAATTCACTAGCCCGATAGCAAAATCTACTAGCCTAGAGCTATCAGAGACTACTTTCATTGCATATTAATACATGACAAATTGTGAGAACAAAAGTGGGAATTAACTTTATTCTCGACATAACTCCTCTTACCTGGATTTTCAAAGCGTCAACATGATTCAGATAGACATGTGCATCTCCAAGGGTGTGAACAAAGTCTCCAGGCTAAAAATTATTTCAAAAAGAAGAATAAATAAGCTTCACTTTCCCCTGAGAAACAGGGAAAACTTCATTCCATACTCTTTTTACTTTGTCTTTCTTTGTCTTTCATTGAAATAATAAAATATTGCATTTTCTAGTGTTGTAATAAAATTACATGTAAAACAATTTTCTTTGGGTCCCATTCCCTCCTCCATGAAGAAAAATTATCAGTTTGCTACTAGTCTGGAACTGATGCATAGCGACCATATTTGGAAAGCATGGTGTATGAGCCAATATACCATCATGGCTTAGCCAATCAAAACTCTAGAATAATTGCGATATCCAATGATTCAGTTTTGAATAATAGGGGGTACATAATGTTGTAGGTAGAATCTGTTTTCAGGAGAATTTCTTTTGACTACTGTAAATATAAAATAATATACTTAAGGCTGGGAAACCTTATCAAAGGAAATTTAGAATCAAATGCAAGTTAGGTTGGATAATGGTTCGGCAAACAGTTACATTTTCTTTTTGTAAAAAATTTATGCATCCTACCTTGAGATCACAGACATGTGCAATCATGTGTGTTAAAAGGGAGTAGCTTGCAATGTTAAATGGTACCCCAAGGCCCTAAAAAATTAACAACAATATATTGAAAAATTAACATTTCATATCATAATTACGTGCATGTTGCAATGACAAAATTAATGACAGTTTAAGTAAAAAAGGTAAAATGTGGAACAAATAGTTCCTCCAATATTTTAACTAACGACAAATGACCATACTGATCATTGACATCCTATCAAACAATCGATAAGTACTGATACTTTGTCACTTTCCAGGGTTTGAGCCAGGCCACGCCATTGTGCCAATACGGCACTGCAAGTGAAATTGTCCCTTAAGAAAACGGCCAAGGGGACAATTTGTCCCCTTCAAAATTTAGGGAAAAAAACTCGAAAGGAAGCACACATGAAGAGATTTATTTCAGTACAGAAATTGCAAGCTAAAACAGAACGTGGAAAGTATATTTTATTGCACGTTTAAAGTTCATTCTAAAGTCACATTTCAGTCACGCTCTACTGAACATGTAGGTCTCATGCTCAACCAAGCATGGTGAACGCGCCTGGCAATCATTAACATATGTCACATCAAAAAAATGTTCAAACATTAGAATGCTTTTTCGCTCCAAATCAAAGCCAGAGTGAATCAGAAAAATGATACAGAAGAAGAACAGTGTGTTAATCAGGAAGAAACGGATGAGGATCGAAGGAAACCAAAAAAATCACGAGATCACACATGGTTGTGCTATTTTTGTCGGAAATCTAAGAAGACAAACCCCTTTGCATCAGCAGAAGGGTGTACAAATTTCTGTCCCCCTAAAAATGAAAATGTCCCCCAGTGATCAAATCCTAGCTCAAACCCTGACTTTCAGTTGTCAGATACAAGGCAATCTGTCAGTAGCCAGTCAATCAAAGAACCAGTCAGCTTGACAGTCATCAGCCATCAGTAAATCATTCAGTATGTCAAACAGCAATCACTCAGTAGTCAGTCAGTCAGTATTAAGTCATTTCAACATTATTTAGTTACAAGTGTGGTTAGACAGCCAGTCAGACAGTTGTCAGATGTCAATTAGTCAACCATTCTGCTGGCCAGTCAGCCAGGCAGGCGCCTAGTGACAAGCCATAGCTTTATCAGTCAGTATGAAAGTCTGTCACAGTTAATTATAGTAGCTGAATCACTGTCAAGAGTTATTCTGTTAGTTGGTCGCTCAGCATTAAGTAGGTCAACCAGCCTGTAGCTATAGCCAGGTCACTCAGCCAAGAAGGTTACCAGTTAGTCACTTGCAGTGTAGTCGGTATTAATGACCAGTCAGTGAGCCAGTAGCCTGTGAGTCATTCATTCACCCAATCAATCAGAAAAATAAGTGGAATTAGGGGCCTGGCCCTGGTTATTCAATCAGTGGATATATAGCAGTATCAACCGGATAAATCACTATCCAGTGGATATCACAATTTATTTTTCCACATTTTGAAAAACTAAACTTTTAAAGGGCCTGGACTTATATGTAATGTAATGTTATATGTTATTTAATTTTTACTTTTTGAGGCAATAGACTAGCCCCCTTCCCCTCCAAAAAATAGCTCCTCTGAATGATACTACTACAAAACAAGCTATTGGTACACTACAAAAATTAATGCATGTTTGATTAAGCCACATACCATATCACCAGACCTTTGATACATCTGACAAGAGAGCTCCCCACCGCTGACATAAAACTGAACAAATGAGTGGCATGGTGGTAAGGCCATATAAGGCAAATCTATGATAAGAGAAAACAGAAGTCTTGTGTATACAATGTCCTTTACAGCCCATTCAACTGACAAAATCCCTTGATCTATGCCGTAATAACGTACAGTTACATCTAAAACATCATGCAGTGCATACCAAGTTCTAGGTACTTGATGTTCTCATACACTCACTACAATAAAAATGGGGAAATCAAATATCAAGGATATTACTTGTATTATGTATGTTGGGAGTCCAGAAGTTAAAGGAGCCCTGCATAGGTAAATCCAGGGTACATAGGAGTACATCATCCAAAGGCAATTATTATTTAGCAGGTTGCATGGGCCACAAGCCATTGCTAGCCTAGGAAATTATTGACTTTGTTTCGAAACAGGGAGATATACATGTATTGTACCCAAGACTCCTGAACACTTAAGAATCTGTTCTGATGTCAAGCTAATGAAGTTGAAAATGAATGTGATGTCATCTTTTCTTGCACCCTATGATACACCTTGCAACAAATTTTTGGATGAAATCATTAAAAAATATAACTCTTTTACTGATTTAGATGTAAAATCAAATATTTTGTTTCTATTTAACAATATTGATCCATTTATTTGTAAATCAGTTGCTGCTTTTATTTTTGAGATCATGAATTGTAGATACAATCATGTAATAATTTCAAAAGTGTCTTAATAGATAATGCCATGTATGCAAATGAGAATACCTTAATAAACTGTTGTTGTTGTTGTTGTTGCTAGCAAACATCCCTCACTGGGTTAGCGACTTAGTGCGACAAGCATTTTGCTATTTCTAAGTGGCTATGCTCCGTATCTTGCCAAGTGCCAACATTAATTTTTCATGGTTTGTACAACTTCAGACAAACAAATTTCAAGGACTTTTCAAGGATTTTTCAAGTTACAAATTACAGTTTTCAAGGACTAAGATTTATTCTGTAAATTGGCAGTCTGAAACCTCCTTTTGAACACCTTACTTGTACTCAATGGAGTAATTTACAGTTAATTTTTTTTTCTTCAGCCATGGTTGATCACATTATTTTATGCTACTTTCCACAACAACACTTAACAAAAAGACTGGGTGTGACTTGCAATTGCATCTGAGCTACAGAAAAGTATTTGAAATAAAGAAACAGAAATAAAATATTGTTCACGCACAAAAATGTTTTGTATGTTACCCGTCAGTTTAACAGGTTCTTACACTGAGGATGAGCCAAATTTGCCTTGGTGAAATAATATTATCTTACAGAAAATTGTGTCTGGTGAATAAAATGTAGAGAATTTCAAGGAACTTTTCATGACCTTACAAAGAAAATCCAGTACTTTAAATTTTCAAGATTGTACGAAGCATAATTTTCTCTGGGGCACAAATAAAGATGATTATTTTTGTTGTTGATTCTTACAACCTTTGAGTGTCTACATGGTGGTATCAGAAGGAGAAAATTGATGCCAATCACAATTGAGTCTTAAGAGGGTTAAGGAGGAACTATGCCTTACCAACTGGGTTCCATGCTGACATTATAATCCGCCGGTCATCTGGGTTATTTTTAATCTTGTCTATCACAGTTGCTAACTGATCTACACCCTGGCCCTTATACTCTGCATGCATGTTGATGTATTTAGCACCAAAGTGGCGCCACTGGAATCCATACACTGGACCAAGATCCCCTTCCTCTCGGTCATGTAAACCTAAACAGAAGTTACATTGAGATGTCAATCATGAACAATAGGGGTGGGGTAGGGATTCTCCCTTATCACACTTAATATTACTCCTGACAAGTCATATAACATAGGGTTTAGTTTTGGACCCCTTTCAGCCTAAAATGTGGGGTATGATAATTACTGAAATTGTAGCTGTATTTTTTATTGAAATAGGGCAAGTTTGTCTGCTCTCTAGAGCCCTGATTCTGGAATTGGGTAAGGGGTGCCTTTTTTCATCAATCACTTCTGAGAAACAGTGGTTGAGGTCTAAAAAAGGGAAGGGTTTCAGGATGCATGCCTCACCCCCCCTCCCCCTGCCCCCTTGAATTTTCCAGGGTCATTACCAGGAAAACTGACATGAATGTTGATTATAGGGGAGGGTGAAATAAAGCTGTTAGCTTCAGCAGGGGTTTCATTATTAAGGAGCTTTAACAACAACGGCAGGGATGACAATGAGAAAGTAAAAAAAAAACAACAGGTTTATCAAGCACAGGGTTGTCACTAAGATTTCAAGTTGCCGGGTATTTGTTGTTAGTAGCCAGGGAAGTCGCAAGCAGTCATGGAGCCCCTCCCCCCCCCCCTACATCCCCCAAGAAGTTTTTGAATTGCAACTTCTACCATTTTCCAAAAGGCATTACCGCCCCAAAAAGGCAATCTTCATCAAGAGTACAGCTATCATTTGCGGTTTTATAATGATCACGTCTTTATTAAAGAAAACTGCAACGTTCTGAGACACTAAAATAATAAGTTTTTACTTTACGTAAAGGCTCGTTGGAGGGTTTTTTTACGTGAAAGCACCGGGCCTGAAAAAAATGACAGGTAAGCACCGGTCACGTTATCTGCCCAGTCTTATCTTCACGCAGACAAGGCGCATGCTGGCCAGTGAAGTGTTAAATCACAACGATACTATACAAATGTTAAAAATGTGGAAAGGACAATCGATTCTTATACGGTGCAAATGAATTAACATGCGCTGTAAAATCAATTTTAAATCCTCATTATACGTAAGAACGAAACAACTTTCAGAAAACAAAAGTAAAACTAATATTACAAATGAATAACAATTTACCCACGGAGAAGCGGGAAGAAGACAAGCGGACGATGAATGTACGAAAAAGCATCATAAACATAAGGTTTCTATGGTTTGTTGAAAACTAAAAGTATGATATAATCTAATGAGGCTAAAACAAGCATAACGTACAAAAAATCGCGGGATAAAAAATATGGCAAAACTTAACTGCACAACTGGTAACATTAGTGGTCTCGAATTTTATGAACGAAACATCACTTAACATACGAAGAAACTGACCTACGGAAAAGCGTTTAAAAGACAGGGCTAATACTTTATAAACGACGCTGAGTTGTCAAAACGAGACTCAAGTTTAGAAAGAGAAAGAAAAGTTTGTCGTCGCTTGTTTTGCGTTCTCCATAAAACGTGAAACTAGGCATTTTCATGTCGTAGTCGTGTAGTAACGGCAAAGAAATGTACAAAAAAGTGTGATGCGCGTGCAAACTAGTTGTTTTGCTCAATAAACCTATTGCTTTTTTGACGTTCTCGTTGCCGTCGCCGTCATCGTTGATAAAACTCCCTACTTTGACATTTTGCGAACGGAGAGTTTTCGCGCGTGTGTACTAGTACCAAATCTAAGTCAGATGTCTTTTTCCGACATTTCTTAGTTTTTGCACGCGAGTATTTCAAAATGATTACTTAAACCTGCTGCAGATGAAACTTGCATTTAGTTTGATGGATAGTCTTTGTGTGTTTCAAAGGTGTGCTCTTTTGGTTTAATTAATGACGAAAGTAGCCGGGGGCCATGCTCTGAGTAGCCGGGCGAAATCCCCGGTCCCCGGCCCTTAGTGACAACCCTGCAAGCAAAACAATAACTATCACACTTTTTTGTATATTTCTTTGCCATCACTGCAAGACTGAAATGTGGAAATGTCTAATTTCACATTTTATGGAAAATGTACACATGTGACAATGAATTTTTCTTTCCCTTTCTAAACCTTGTTGTGGTCCCCAAGAATTCAACTTCAAAGAAATTTGCCTACATTTGTCATTTTCAGCAAATTGAAATAAATGCGACAAAGTTTAGAAAAATGAGAACTCATTTTAAAAGTGACGTTTTCGCTGCCATCATCATTGTGGATGCTAAATTGATCCTTACATATTTAGAGGGGGGTAAAGGGTGAAGAAGGGAGTCCTAAACATATTTTCACAGACATTAAAAAATAGGAAAAATAATGCATCACTGTAATTAACGTTCTGTGTTCACGTTTCACAGAAATTTCTGAGAAGTAAAAGGACAGTATTTTGTGGTTTCTAATTACTTATTTTCACCATTCACGAAAAATTAAAAACACTTGATCCCATATCATGAAAAACCCCTTTCACCCTTTAATCACAGTTGGTACAATGCAAATTTATATTAAATGTACTGCATTATGTCACATGTACCTTGTTTATCAAGAAACTCCCTTGAGCCATTTGCATCCCAGATTTTAATTCCTTTCTTGTTTAACTCTTTTGCATTAGTGCATCCACTAACAAACCACAGGAGTTCTTCTGCAACTCCACGCCAGAACACACGCTTTGTTGTCAGGAGAGGAATAACATTGTTACGTAGGCTAAACCTCATCTGTGTACCAAAGACAGAGATAGTACCTGTACCTAAAAAAATTAAAAAATACACATTAATTTTTTTCACATTTTTTCATAAAAAAATTTGCAAAGTAGGAGATCCGGGAGCAGCTAGTTGGGGTGGCAGCATTTTCATAGGCAAAAGTTAACAACAAGAACAGTCATCCTCCCACAAACTGCAGGTTCTTAAAAATATAGTTACTTTTTACCAAGAACAATTTAGAACAATTTGAGACAAGCCTATTCAATGAAAACTGCCACCTCAAACTGCTTACTGTGGAAAGAGATGTACATGTACTGGAAGAGAGAGTCCATTAGTATGAAATTTCTCAGGCAGTGGTCAACAGGCACCATACTGTAAACTTCCACCTATACCCCCTCCCCCCCCCCCAGTTAGAGGCATCCTGGGGGAGGTACTCCTAGGAATTCTCAGTGGGGGTATTGAATTGATGTATCTGTCGATATATGAACTGATGTATCGACCAAGGGGTGCACAAAGTACACAAGATCCCAAATCTAAATATTAGTGTTGATCTATATCAGAGCTTTTGAAGCTATGCAAAAAAAAACGAGCAGGGGTGTATTGTGTCATTTAGTAATTTTACAGCATATTTACTATTTAAAACTAATAAATAACTAATTTTCTTGAGTTTTGATTTTGGCTCTATATTACCCTGTACAATGTATGTAATGTACCTGTCCTATCTCCTTTCTCCATGCCATTATCAAGAATGTACTGAATCATATTCAGATACTGCAATTCATCATGCTTTCCAGGTTTTACTTTTTCCTCTTTAATAGGCAATGTCGAGGATTCCGGAGCTGAACTTTCCAAACCATCTACTGCCAACATCTTCAGGACGTGTGATTCCTCCTGTCAACAGATGAAAGGGTGAAAAGATACCCAACTGTAGAGTTATATTTATCTTCTTAATATACTGACAAATTGTAACCATCAGGTCACATTTCACTGTTTATGCTAATAAAAAGGTGGTTAAATAACCAGACCAGTGCTTGATCTGTGGGATTCAGGGCTCAAAATAGCGGGTGGTAAGTGGACAATGTCTGGCCAAGATGACCATTTGTCTGGATGGAATTTTCATTTCCAGTCATTTTGACCGGACTTGTCAATTAACAGGGAGCTTAAGCAATGACAACGGCGACGGCAAAAAAGCAATATGCGTAGATTGGAAAAACAACAACTTTGCACATGGATCACACTTTTTTCTACATTTCTTGGACGTCGTTGCACAACTATGACATGAACCTTCCTAATTTCATGTTTTGTCGAGGACGGGAACACAACACAACAACTTTCCTTTTCTTTTCCTGAACTTTCATACAATTCTTTTGAATTCACTCCAGAAAAATTCGCCAACATTTGACGAATTGTACAAGATGGAATAAGTACAATAAAGTTTGAAGCAGCCCAAATTCACTTTTTGTCGTCGCCGATGTTGTTGCTTAAACTCCCTAAAAACCGACCAGAAAAAAATACATTTTTACACTATTACGTTTCAGGAGGACAAGCATCTTCTTTTTTGCTTTATGTTTCTGCTTGTTAGGCTAGTACATTCAATTTACCGTTGGACTATTTTTAACATTTTGACCAGTCAGAAGGAAAACGTGACCGAGTTAAAATTTCTTTGGCTGGTCAACACGACTGGCAACAGTCCCAAATTTATTTTGATATTTGAGGATGTGACCTGTATTATTTAGACCTGGCAATCTTTCCATCAACTGTTTGTCAGAAACTTCAAACAAATTACTGTTACAGTTAACACCTGCACATGGATACGAAACAGGTACAATAATTTTATTTCAGGTTAATTTGATTAACCCAGCAGAAAATAAGGTTGGTTCCCAATTTCCCTTGACTTCAAGCCCCAGGAGACAAAAAATAGGGAATCAACCTTGGCAAAAAATTTAACCTCAAACCAAATTTGACCTGTAACATATAAATCTCACATACCTTTTAGGGGGTGAAATTATCGATTGTTTCTGCATAAAATCCTACTGGTAAATTCTAAAATGATTGCTGTTAGAATTATTGTGTTTTTTTTTGTCTTAAGGGGATCTAAGGAACCTCTGCATCTGTTAGTCATCTGAATATTTTTTACAGTATTGAAAATTAGTGCGGGTCAATGTTTTGTTTCAGAATAATTAAATTGACACTTGATAGGGGTGAAAATGAATTAGTTTCAGCTGCATTCTTAAAAAATTTTGATGAGCATCTCTTTTAATCAGGAAGTACTTCCCAAGTCCCCAACAGCATACAAACCTGAGCAGTTGACACATTTTGGTCCCAAGCTTATCCATATATTAGGGAAAGTTCCAAGTAATCAACTTACATTTTATGTAAGTTGATTATTTTTTGGGCCATTTGACATAAGACTGACTCCCACATGTACTGTAGTTCTCATACCGACGCAACACTTGGGCCTAGTCCCCACACGGTTGCTCCAAGGGAAACAAAATCACCATTTGCCTAACGTTTTGGCACATAGAAGGTTAAAATGAGTCAGGGAAACTGAATTCAATTACTTAGCGCATCGCCCCAAATGATTACAGGTATTTGTACAATTATAAGAACTTAATTACGAAATACAAATCCATAGATTTCTGAGATTTTGACGCACGCGTTGATCGATAGATGCATTGTCTAGGATCGATGCAAGCCCTCCATCGTCCAACTAAAGATAACTTTCATGGGCAGGAAACGTTAAAAACGGTATAAGGACTGCAAATAGTCTTCAAAAACGTTTTTAAAATGTTATTTCAAGGTTACATAGAGCAAAACGAGACACCTCACCTCGATCGCTGAACAGTGTCCTTGCAGGGCCGTCCTTGCAAAAGCTAAATCTGGCGGGAAAACAGGGGTAGTACTTGGTGTAAGACTGCCCAAAATGTCCCAGGCCACTGTAATAGCTGTGCTCTAGTACCCGAAACAAGGCCTCGTCGAGGCCTCGTCTTGAAACTGCATACAGAAGAAACGGAGAGGGGCTTGGTATCAACAACGTTTCAAGATGGCAGATGGCTGGAGAAAAGGTCGGAAGCACCGCGATCATTTTCCAGAAATACCGGGAATGCCAAATAGAAGCGAGCTCATGAAGCCGTTGATTTTTCCAAACAACCAGCGAGCTTTCAAAATTTTCACTGTTATCGCTACTGTTGGTAAGTGAAAACGAAATTATCATGAGTCTAAAGTCTGTGAAAAAACGTGGAAAAATAGAGATGTTTTAATGTTTTAGGAATGGACAGTCGTGTATCAATAACTGATTTGACATTTCTCTTACATTCCCCGGCCAAGTGTTATTGTGGCGATTTAACTGGCTAACATTCCTCTTATCCCTTTTAACACGGTTTTGGTACCCCCCCTGTCACCCCTGGCACTGTTGAAGCCTCCATAGCCGGTAACCATAGAGGATATAACGAGTGGGAAGGTGGGTTGTAAGTTGTGTTTAGGCCTCCATAGTGAAAGAACCCGCCTGTATCATCATATCATCATTTAATCTCATACCCAGATCTCCCATTGCCAAGGTAAAACAGAGTGAGAGAGTGTGATCTGGGTACGAGATTAATCATCATCGTCATCATCACCGTCATCATTTATTCATTTTGTACAAAATGTGCAGGAAAACCCCATGAAGAACTTTTCACAGTGGTATACAATTTTATTAGTCCACGGAAAGGAAAAGGGAGGGGGATTGAAGTGGAGTGGGGAGGAAAACCGTGGTGGAAGGGAGTGGAGACTGGGGAAAGTTTTGACAGACAGAAAAGAGTGATTATGGTACAAATGAGAGGCAGCAAGGCCCCAAGGACAGAAAGGGTCTGGCTGCATGATGCATGTTGTCTCCTCTATCACTAGCAAAGTCCTTGTAACTTGAGTAAAAACCTTTTCATTACACTTGAAACCTATTATTTTATGTGTGATCATTTGACAGGAGCTTGCATGTATTGCATATTTGTTCCAGAGTATAAAGGAGACCACATTTTCTTACCAGTAAGTAAACCTTGAGTAGCCCACAAATGATGCATTGATTCACAAGTTAATTTGGATTGTCATCACACACTGTCACCAGTGAAGAAAGTGTTACCATCAGTATGTCTCCATCCCTTATTAGCAGCATGTTGAGCATTGATCATGACTGTATAATCCTAAAATGTGCCCATTCAAATGAAAGCTACTGAACTGTCCTTTCGTGTGGTACTGTTTATTTAGCTGTATAAGCTGATTTTACCTTTTAACCCTCGGACGTACAAGGGGGGGGGGGAGGG